AGCGAAACAAAAGCGTCCGATGCGGCGACGATGGGATTCTCGGGATTCAAAGCATCGGTGAGACAGAAAGACTCGCCAAGGCCGGGATACCTGGGACCACGGGTGCCCGACAACGAAGCTGAAGTGCAGAGAGCCAGCTGATGCTTGACATAGGCAGGGAAAATGGAGCGCGCAACTCTCTGTTCTACACAGCGCTTGGATTCTCCAAAGAGTGAGTCGAGGCCGGGCAACACGCATCCAGTCAGTTGCTTCATGTCTGCGTTGAGTGACTTGCTGACGGTGGATGGCAGGTTGGCCGGCGTTGGCATTGATGAAGCCTGCTTTCCAAACTGCGCCAAGCAACGGGAATACTCCTGGACTCGGAGGAGGAACTCGATATCGGGACCACTTCCGCGGCTCGAGGCGAAGTGGAAAAATCGTTGTGACGTCTGCGCATTGCCGAGAATCATCTGGAAAACTTCGCGGCCCAAGAAGTCAGGGATAGGCAGCGTCTCGGTTGGCTCCGCTTCCATCACGGGCGGTCCGAAGCTCCGGCGCAAACTCGTGGAGATACTGTCGAGGCTTGTCCATGTACCGGGGCCAAACGTTGGCGATCTCGGGGAGCCATCGGGGTTGTAGTCGGTGTAACGGCGGAAAGCGTCTTCGTTTGTGTGTAATGTCAAGCCGGAGTTGCTTCTCAAACGGAGGGACATCTTGCTGGGTCGGACACTGCGGGGGGTCGCGGGCGGCGAGAAAGTCATGGTAGGGACTGGTAAACACGAAGAGGGCGGCGGGGTAATCTTCATGTTCGGGTCCATCAGGCCCTTTGGGCTGTGGTTGTAATCATTGTCGTACGGTGGCGTCACCGGCGATCTCCTGGACATAGAAGACATGTTGTTACTGTAATTTGATAGTAATGAGCGTCTGCAAATGAGTGTGTAGTGATTGTAATAGCCGTCTGGCAGGCTGGGCCGAAAGAAAGGAAAAGAAAAGAAGAAAAGAAGATGAGATTAAAGAAGATTGGTTTCCAAGTAGATCAAAATCAGACGTTGGACAAAGGCCTACCGTTGCATCATACCTTGAGTAAAGAAACAGAGTGACGGACGCCAATACCACATGCCACCACGGAGCAAGAGTGGTTGTTCCTCTGGAGATGGAAAAGACGGCGGTCCCAGATGCTTATAGAAGAGGCAGCAGTGGGCAGATCCTGACTCGCACAGGCAGACTTCTCTTTGGTGTTGTGGCAGGCTTGTCAAACGCCATGGCAAGTAGGATGTCTTAGGGCGGCGCCACGAACTTGCGGGGAAAAGTCGAGCACGCTGTACCCCGTAGCTCGCCCAGGAACAAACGGACACGACAGACGGCGTCCGCTCAGCGGCCCTGGGTATTTCCCACAGTGAACGTTGATCTCGGGAGATGCATGAACGCTCGCAGTATGCCGGTATAAGGCGCGAGAAGCGTCGATCAATGGCATGTCGGCAGGGCAGGTGCAGGTAGGAACGGGGACGCATTGCCTGCCTTGTCGATTCAAGGGCCAGGCTAAGCATCGGCCTGTCGCTCCAGGCTCCGGCACCAGGGGTGCTGCTATTGCCAGCTGCGCCTGGTAAAAAAAGCAATAGGCCGTGCGTCATGGTTGGTTCGTCGAGCTGATGGTGGCGGCGTCGAGAAGTCGTTATCCCGGGCCTCTTTTTGGGACGAGTGCTTTGTGTTGGCGCTAAGATAAACAGAGGGATTGGCAACCATGCCATCTGAAGTCTGGCGGGGATGACGGAGAGCAGCGAGGACGACCGAGACGAGCAGGGTTGACCAGGGAATTTTGGACCACATGGTAGGCGATCTCCCGCCATTGCGTGACGATGGAGTAGCACGGGGCCCTATTTCGAGCGTGGCCGACACACCCAGACCGCCTGGTTGGGACGCCTGTCCCTGTCGTGGGCTTGATATGAAGGGGTTCGACGCCGTTGCGACGCTTTGGCCGGTGGCGGCGATGGCGGCGGTGGAATGTCGCATGCTGCAGCCGGTGGGCACATTGGCACAAGAGATTGAGTGGGTGCGGATTTGGCGACGCGCAGAAAGCGGCGGTCAACAGGCAACGAGGCAGTCATGCTGAGAACAAGGCAGGCCATGCAGGCGGTGTTGGGATTGTCCCTGACAGTATCCGTACCGAGGACCATACGGACACGCGAACGGGGGGCAATGATTTGGCCAGGCGGATGGGAATAGGGCGGGATCCCGTGCCGGCGTTTCATCATGATGAATGTTTCGGCTGCCATCGACATGTCGCAGATGCAATGGGACATGTCGCTTCTTGGAGACGAACGGCTGGAACCCGTCACGGAATAGTCTGGTTGTTGGGGGCGGCGTCATTCTCGGCCGGGAGAAAACGGTGCCCGCGAGACGGCTCCATTTGGTTGCGAGGTGACTCCGAGATGGCCTTCGTAGTTCGTGGTGGTGCGGGTGATTGGTGGTGGTGTGGCCCGGTGACCGTCGCGGCTAGAACAGAACGGCGGTCGCTTCGAACGAGGAGCTCCAGGATGGGGGAACGGGAGATGGAGACGAAGACGTAGACGAAGCGCCAAAAACGAATAGAAGAGCTAGAGACGGCTGTGCGTTTGGCTTTTGGGCCCGGGGTGTATCAGGTCTTGGTCCTCCCGGCTGACTGCCTCGCTCATTTGGGGGCCGTCTTCAGGTGTGAAGCGATCGACAAACAGTCCGGCCTGCTCTGATGGAAGTCTGGCGAGAGGTCCATGCTGGCGATGTTGACGAAGACGGCGATTTTAGGGAAGAATGGAAGATGAGGATCATTCGTCTGGTCCGGGCGGGAGACACGATCAGACGGTGCTTGCAGGGATCGCAGCTGCAGGAAGACGGGAAGCCAGGTTCGGACGAAAGAGGCGGCGGTCTGTGTAATCGCGCTAGATGTCGTTTTTTAGGTGCCTTTTTCTACTGTGCAGTCGAATGGCCATCGGAGTGATTGTTGGTGTGGTGGTGGTGGAGGTGTTGGACTTAGTGGTGAGGAGGGGAGAAAATTGGGGAAAGCGCGGCACAGTCCAGAAACCTCGCCACACATGGCAAGCCACACTGTCCTCGTAGGGCGAAGGGCTGGGCCTTCCTGCCAACGCCTCAAACAGTCTCTCTTTCTCATCCGTCAAGCCTCACCGGTAGACACCACATCCACACCTCTGCGCAACGCCCGCCGTTAAGCCGTTGATGCCTCGTCTGTTTCCGTCGAGACACCAAATGGCATTTTCAGGAATGCAAGAAAAGCAATTCTGTCACAAAGTTTAATCCTTTGGATGGGCAATGGCTGAACATCAGTCACTACAGACAGGGCTTGAAAGCGCCCATCATCCACCGCCTGGCACCGGTGAGATTGTGGGGAACCCCTGCGTCAATCAGTGGATACTGTGCGAGACTGCGTGCTCCTGAGTCCCGACTAGCAGTCCCATTCTTGGGGGAAAGGTCTAGGGCTGGATGACTTGTACGCAGGACATAGCTAAATGCTGCATCTGCCACGCTCTAGATGGAGAATGGGGACCGGAGATCAATGTATTCAATCATTGATGGTAGAAACATGCACTTTTCGTCACCATGGACTTATACTAGTCAATAAATACACATTGGAGCGTCATTCAAGGTCCACTCATTAGTCGGTCCCACGGAGGAAGCTCCGTCGAGCGAAAACATGGCAACCATTTCCCATTCAAGAAACCTGTAGACCACGAACTCACCAGTTTCAACTCAGTTCTGCTCCCGGACATGAGCTCAGATCACAGAGTGCTCATCAGCCCCGGGACCTAACAAAAGCTCTCCATCATTGAGGACCGGGACCAGGCCATCGGTGTGCCGCCATGCCATCAGCCCGGGCCTCACGAAAGCACGTTCTCCTCAACACACCTCACGAGACCATTCATAACAGTGTCATTGACCTTCAGTCACAACTACCGGACTTGACAGCTTCATTTATGTCAGCTGACGCTAGCCACACACAAACTCAATCCGGTCTGGAGATCTATATTTCTTATTACGAAATCAAATAAACATACGGTGGGTGATAGACGTCAGCTGATTCAATTTTAATGGGGTAATCACGTAGGATTTCTATTTGCACGACAAAGCACTTCTGTCTTGACAGCATCTTTGATCAATCTTCAAAATACACCTCTGCTGGGAAATCCTCCCCATAGCGCCGATGGCTACATTGGCGATCCGGACATTCTCTTATCGGCAACCTGCGCCGTTTGCAAAATGATGAAGAATGATGTAGTAGTGCAGAAACGCTCGTCCCTTCTGCATCTTGAAAGATTCTGCATAATATGGTCGATGAGGTCTGAACACTTGAACAAGTACTTGCAGCTTGTAAAATACCTTTTTTTTCTCCGAAATAATTAACCAATGTTTTCCCCACAAACCATTGATGGGGAAGGAAAGTAAGTATGCCAAGTATGGGGTCCTTTGCTGCGAACATCCTCATGAAATAAATTGACAACTGACTTTGTCTTTGAAGACTGAGATCCGTGCAAAACTCCCTACAAATTGATAAACTTCTAGTCTATTTTAGGAGTATTGTCAAATACTCAAGACACCCGCAAGCTTCACCTCATATTCACCCAAATACCAAAAATGCAGGCCCAATCTGAGGAGGTCCAAGCTTCCGTGGTGCCATGCCGCCTTACATAATCTGTGAGCTGTGTGACCGACCGCTGGAGTCAGGCGGAGCCGTGCTGTAGGTATCCTGCCCATGATTGCGGCCCCTATTGTCGTCAGTCGCCGCCTGGAAAGCCTGACTGCCCTCCGGGGCGGAACCTAAACTTCCCGACCCTTGATCGACGACGAGACGTCTTCCTTCCTTCCACGTCCTCACTTGCCCAAGCCATCGCCTACCCCGCGGTCTCAATTGGCCTCAATCTCCCGCCTCCCAGGCCTCCGGATGGTATCGAATGCCCTTCGCAATCACAGAGTCCGAGCCAGACTACCCCACCTAGGCTCGCCGACGGGTGTCCGTCGCCGCCGCCGCCAGCATGGACGCTAGCCCCGAGCGAGATTGGGCCAAGGCTCTGGAGGAGGTCCACGCGAAGACCTTCTCGGCGTACCTCTCGCTTCGCCAACATGCCGTGAACGACGACTCGCAGCCGCTTCGAGATGTCGTCACTACTCTCAGGCTGCTTGTCGGTGCGACGCAGAGCCTGGCATTGCTTGTTGAGGAGCTCCGCATGCGAGAGCTGGACTTCCTGTTCGACGGACCGAAACCTGGTCGCAACCTGCTTGACACATTGGATGGCACTTTGAGCGACTTGAACCAGGCTCATCAAGGGGGAAATATTGACGAAAAAATCCTTGTCAAGCTTCGCGCTATTTTCAGTGGCCTCAGAACAGCGGCAGCTACCGACCACCACCTTGACTTCGAGCTCTGCTTATCCACCATTGGCTCCTCATCTGTCGTAGAACAAGGGCCTCAGCCTGCGCTGTCTACATTGAATGATCCCCACCATCATGACAGCTCCTACAACGATGCTCTAGCATGTGTCGAGCAGATCTGCGGCCCCGATGTTCAGCTAGCCAAGCCAGGTGAATACTACGTGTACAAGGCGAAGCTGGCGGAGAGAGATGTGGAACGGCCATCCTATGGCACGTACGCGCTGAGACTGCCAGAGCTTGTCGAGAAGCACTGGGGAAGTATTCGCCGAGACGAGAGTATTACTCCCGAAACGGCACAGTATGCCTTTCAATCCGATTTCAAGCACCTTTTCGCTCCAAAACTGAAGTCAGGGAACTTTGAGAACTGGGTTCTCGAATACGCGCGCCAACAGTGGCCCGAACGATTTGATCCCACGTCCCCGAACTTCTCGACGAAACCTCTTGTGCGTTTGATGTCACAAGTTTCCGACCCTTCGCTTCGTCCTATTCACGTCGCAGCTGCGTTGGGCATGGCCGAAGTTTGCCGGTGGCTGATATCTGCCGACCCAGAGTCTGTCCGAATGAGGAGCCCCTGGGGAACACCGTTCTACTGCGCCTTACTTGGTCCCAATGCTTTCCTCGGACGCGTGGCAGATCCAGTGGAGCTCTTAGCAGACATGCGCACTCCGGTCAATCAAAATGGGACCCTTGCCGTTCTCCAAAATGCCGGTGGCGCATTGAAAGGGACTTATTCTTCAATCATTGGCCCAAGTCAAGATGAGCCTGTGTCTCTGGCTACCTTGGCATTTCTTGTGTGCAACTTTCTTCAGTCACCAGAGAAATTTCTCAACATCATGGACCACAATCCCGACGTCTCTTTCTTCGACGACCGTTTCCTGACATTGTTTCGCTCAAGTCGCTCAGAGAGATCAACACTGAAAAATTGGCCAATCCCATTTCCCCCGATCTATCATAATTTCCTCGGTAGTGTTCTACCGGTAATCCTGGACAGAGCCGTCATCAACTATGACAGCTACAACGAAATGTCAATGCTAGCCACGGGTGTATATGAAATGGTTGGCTTTTTCGATCTTGAACCGGAATATCTCCAGCGAGCCTCTTCACTTCTGGACGTGACCCCCAAGGCTTACACTACGCTCGTTCGGGAGGCAGTCCAGGATCGTGAGGTGGACGTTGTTCGAAGGCTCACCGAAGATCCGCGCTGGGACCCAAACGCCTTCCTACACAAGGAGTTACCGTCTTTGCACCCGACCGGTGATTCTTCTGACGTTCTGGATAAGGGAACATCCATTTTACATTGGGCCGTGGAATCCGATGACCTGGCTTTGACCCACCTCATACTGAACTCTGGATCGAATGTCCACGTCCGGAACCCAAGGAATCAAACACCATTGTTGTTGTCTGAATCTCCCGATGTCTTCAACCTTCTCCTAAGTCATGGAGCACAAACGACTGATACTGATGAGGACGGGAGAAACATATGGCACGTTGCAGCGGCGAACTCTGACATTGATCTGATCAATTGCCTTCTCGAGAACGACGAGAATCAGGATCAGAATCTGAGGGCAAGGATGCGTGGGGGACAGACTCCAATTGCTCAAGGCATCATCTACCCATTCAAGCAGATGATTAAAGGCCCCAAGTCGTCACCAAAACCACCATTCGCTGCCTTGCATCTCCTCAAGTGGTGCAAGAAAGACCCGGTTTATCTTCGCAGCCCGAAGTCTCTGCTATTTCTAGCAGCCGAATGGGGCTCTGAACCTTTGGCGTCAAGCCTGCTCGAGTTTGGTGCGGACCCCAATGCTGTCGATGACCACGGCCGGTCTGTGCTACATTATTTGAATGCATCTGCAACACCAGAGCTTGTACGGACGCTCAAGAAGGGTTGCAAAGCGCCGGCTCTAGACAATCGTGGACTGTCACCAGCGGAAACGATATTTGCCGCTTTCAATCTCGAAAAGGGTGGGCGTCTCTCGAAAAAAGCCCGGAACCACCCAGCGTACTCTGAGCCGCTCAAAGCTTCAGCGTACGAATGTCTCCTCACGCGAGATGTTCTCGTCTCGCGTAATGCATCTGGGGCTGGCCTCTGGGAACGCTTCGTGACGACGGTGATCGCCGAGTGGAGCCCTCGCTGGCCAGAGGGGTTGGATGCTGGACCGTCTATCCTGACGGCACTCAATGCTCTAGTCAAGATGTGGGCACTAGCCGACTACGAAACCTCCACGCAAAGTTCGGCGCTGTTTCCCATCCTTTACACTTGGATTGAAGGCTTACCAACTCATTCCGAGGTTCCGCCATGGATGGGGGATGTCTTTGGCTGTATCTTGAAGGCGTCAGTTTTCAAAGATTCTCTGAAGGCTTCCCCCGAAGCGATCACGTTGCTCAAGGCTTGCATACAGCAAGGCAGAGGCGACCTCCTGCCTAAGCTTCTAAAAGCGGGTATCTCTGTCCATGAAAGGGTAGGTGGTACTTCAGCGCTTGAAGTGGCGTGTCAGGGTGAAGAAACATCTCGTTGCAATCTTGAGATGTTCGAGAATGTATTATCTCACGCGGAAGTAGAAAGGCTCAATGAGGTCGAAGAGGGAGGGACCAGCTTGTTAGAATGTCTGTTGGAAGACTTGGTATCATCACGAGATAAGAAGCTATCCTGCCTGTTGGATTATGGATGCGACCCAAATGCCGGCGTTGGAGTCCGTGGCACCCCTATTGTTCTGAACTACATCTCGGGCAACCAGATCGATGGTGCCAGGACGCTTCTCAGACACGGTGCAGACCCTTCAGCTACCGATACATCCGGTAGAGACTCGGCACTTACAGCGGTATCAGTTGGGTCCCTCCGTCTTGTCGTATGCCTGAAGAACTTTTATTATGCGGATATCTATTGGGCTAGAACGTGTACTTCCCAATTCGAGGTAAAATCTGTTGCCGGGTCTAAGCGTACCATCATCTCAAACACTTTCAACGCCCTACACATTGCCTCGATCGGCGGCCACGAGGCTATTGTGGACTTTTACGTCAAGGAACTCAGACTCTCAACCAATGTAGCGACGTTGCATGAGCGATGGACACCTCTCCACTGTGCCGCCCTCGGCGGCTCGACATCCTGCATGCGAGTACTCATCGAACACGGTGCGGACCCTACGAGAGAAGATTACCAAGGCCGGACACCGCTCATGATCGCCGTTGAGGCCGGCGATACCGAGGCCGTGCGCTTGTTGCTGAAGCCTTGCTCGGCGAAGATGGCGATCGAAAAGCCTTTCTTGCGTGCTCTTGAAATTGGTTACGGAGTTTTGCTTGTGCTATTCGCCCCTTACTTGACGACACTCCTTCCTCGTCTCACACAAACACCAGACGAAGATCAGGCGCCCCGGGGCCACCTAGCTGGGGCCATTCTTGAAGCACTGATCACAGCGGGAGACAAGGCAGCATGGAAGACCAGCGAAAGAGTCTTGGAGTATCTGGATCCTGCAGCCTTGAACGACATCAGGTTGCCCTGCGGAGAATGCTCCCCTGTCGTGTTCGCACTCAGGTCGGGCTGCTACAGGACCTGTCTTCGCCTTCTACAACATGGCATGAGACCAGAAGTCATCACTAAGCAGTGTCCTCGTCATCTCCACGCACCACCCTCATTTGCGCATGAGAACTTTCACCCATGCACTGTCTTACACTTGGCTGTACATCGCCTGTCTGAGAAGGGATCTCCCAAGCGGCACATACACGAAATTGTCCAATTTCTCCTTCTTCACACCGACTGGTATCAACACCCGATAAGTCCGATACACTATGCTGTCACTTGCAGGAATGGGGCTGCAAATGCGACATTGCTGGCCATTCTGACGCACCTGAAAATGTACTCCTCCAGATACCAAGATATGGTGCCGGAAGGCCAGTTTCGGATCACTGACCGAACGAACCCAGACCGCGCCTGGGCGCACAATCAGCAAAAGGTTCTCTCCCACTTTTCCAACCAACGTATTTCCTCCGATGCGTTTTCGCCGGAATTCCAAAAGGGCGATTCCCCGCTGCTCCTGGCAATTAGGGCGAAATCATCGACATCCATGCAAATCATCCAGATACTGGTGACGCACGGCGCCGATCTGTCCGATGGCAACGCTACAACCCCACTCCACGAAGCGGCCGGCAACAACTTTGTCGAGGCTGTCGAATATCTTTTACAGGTTGGGGCCAACTGCAGCCTTCGGGACGCAGATGGCTTTACTCCTTTGATGGTCGCCGTTGCTGAAGGAAATCTTGACACAGCGAAGGTACTCGTCAGTCACGGTGCCAGCATACACGTGCGGGATGCACATGGCACGGGGCTACTGGGTATTGGTGCAAAGTCCAAGAATCCGGCCGTCTTGCAATGGCTGCTCGGTGTTGGGCTAGATCCGTATGAACCGGATCAGCAGAATCTGACGGCGCTCCACCACGCACTCTGTAATGTTCATCTCTCCAGCTTCGTTTTGAACTACGGCTTTGACCTTTCAAATATCGTACGAGGCGGCGGCAATGACTTCTTGGCTGAATTATTCACCCAGACAAGGGCGTCAGAGAGCCTTGCCAAGCTACTGAAGCGGCTTCCAACAGAGGAGAGGTTGGCTTTGGTCAATCTTTCTCTGGGAGACCCCTTCACGCCTCTTTGCCGCGCGGTTGTGGAAAACAACTTGTCTCATGCCCGTGTGCTCCTGGAATATGGCGGAAGACTTGACGAAGAAGGAGCGTCTGAGGGATCTGCGTTGATGCTGGCGTGCTCATTCGGACGGCCGGACTTTGTAAAGATGCTCGTCCATCTCGGCGCCAGCATTTCGTACACGGCTCCCCTTGCCGAGGGGCAACCTATCTTCAGAAACGCCTTGGCATCAGCAGAGCCATTCCCTGAGCTTGTGAGATGGCTTCTCGTGGAGAGGCATATATCGCAGCGCAGACTCGGGGATATTGTCCCCGAGGTGATGGATGTTGATGGAGACGTGAAGCCATGGGCTGGCGTTTGCATTACGGAATACGACGTTTCGGGGACAGGGATTCTTGTTGCTCGTGCGGCGAGGGAGTCGAGCTTGGATTATGTCAAAAGGCTTGAGGGCGTGCGGAGAGGACTTAGGGGTACGGTCTTGAGGGTTGTCCAGCTGGAACACTAGAATGATAGAGCCAGGTATATTTCTCAGTAGATTTAGCATCCGCTAACTTCTGGTGCAAGGGGTTGTGTCAAGGAGGACCTCATGAGAGAGACGTAATTGGAAATCATAAAAGATCAGGATTGGTAATGCGATCATGAATATCCCTCAAAGTACCTCTTGATGAGCAGTGTTTCAATCTCGGAATATTTGGCGATGAAAGATCCCGTGAATTTGATTGGTAATTCAGAGCCACGATCATAGTTAGTGTAAGTCTCCGAGAAAGTCTTCATTAGCAATCATTTTGTTGCATCCCCTGTATAAAATGGATTACAATCATTCTCACTTTAAGCTCTTAGTCCTCCTCATCACCTACCGCCCCAATCCCTTCCTGCAACCCTTCTCACCGGCACACCCACCACAATGGCCAACATCACCCTCTACAACGCCTCCATCCCCCAGTTCAAAACCGGCCTTACCGTCCTCTCCCGCATCCTCACCAAAGCAGCCCTCCACTTCCCCAACTCCCCCGACTCCATCCTAACCGCCACGCTCATCGAGCTTTATCCACGTCTCTGCTTTATATTCAATTTTCGCCTTTCCCACAAATGATGGCAGTACGCGCTGTTGAGCGCGTCAACAACCAACAGAAAGCTTCTGGCTATAACATTCAACAACTATGGACATCGGATAAGCACAAGTTACCGGAACAACTGTCTGCTATCAGTACCATAATCGTCGACATTGACGGAATTCTGCTGTGTGAGACCGCTTCGGTTTGTGCTTATTCTATCGACAAATGTGTGGTGGACATACCAAGGCTTACCGATCATGAGGAGCGTCAAAGCCAGCGCCAATACACAAATGGCTCTTTTCTATCTGACGTTGGGGTCAGATCTATACTCTCAGAGACACTCATCATAACATCTACGGCTGATAAGACTCTGGTACCTGAGAGGACTCCGAGTGTAGGAGGTGGCGCCTACGTACATCCCAAGTTGGCCATTGAGACACCCATCCTTCATTTCGCAGAAAACGAGGTCAAAAGTCTCAAAATCGACAACATGTTAAAAGATTTCAAAATTATTCGCTACCTCCCTTTTGACTCAGCTAAACGGCGATTTTACTCTATGGCCGTAGCCGAACTCCCAAGCGGCCAATTTAGAGTTTACGTCAAGAGTGATCCTCAGACGGTAATTGACAGATGTCAATACGCAGTCCGGCGCACATGGGATTCTAAGCGCAACAGAAATGAGTCTTGCATACCTTTCTCACCGCCATACAGGGAAGAGGTACAGGATTCGGTTCATCAGCTCTCTCGGCAGTCTTTGATACTGGTTTCTGTTGCGTTCAAAGACCTTGAGCCCGTCGATCTGCAGAACTTAGAGCACAAGAATGAAGACCACAATATTAGCAGCTTATCCAAAGGTCTTGTATATGTTGGTACCCTCGGAATAGACGCACCACTGCTCCAAAGCCCCAAAGAAGGCATCCGTCTATGCCAAGAGTCGGGGATCTTTGTCCGCTTCTGCTCCTCGGCCCCCACGTCAACAACAACACTTGTTTCTAAACAGTGTAACGCTCTTCCGCCCAGAGGAACGGTCACAAGACTTTTCAACTTCTGCCTATGGTCACAAGATCTCCAACGTCAAACACTGCCCCGTTTGTTCGGCTTCTCGGGCTGCACTCGACAAGGATTGCGCCTTCCGGAGGATGCTGGTACTCTATTCAGAGCTTTCCACACGATGGGAGAGACACCGGCATGGGCCGATGCTGAGTCCGTGAAATTCCAGAAACCACCATTCTTGCACGGAATTCTCGGTGGCATCCACTGGGGTCGCTGGTCCGTTGCTGTCAATGAAGAACTAGCGTATTTGTCAATGACTACGACGGCCTTGGTCACGCTAGTTATCATGGTCACTTCTTTTGTAGACACACACGCAAGATCCTTAATTCGGCCGGTTCATGTTATTTGGTACGAGCTGCTTTTTAGCTCGTGGGGCTCTACGGCGTTGGCCATGGACACCCCACGCGTGGGGCTTCTGCAACACAACCCATTTCGACTATCCGACACCTTGTTCAATCCGCCTACAATAAAGGTGGTATTTGGAAGGGTATTTTATCAATTGATTGTTCTTCTGTCACTCGCGTACGGAAGTAAATCAATGGCAGGATATGGAGGCCAGGGAGATCTACGAGCAGGCAGCATGGTCTTTAACTGCCTAGCATGGATGCAGATATTCACTATTTTGACCAGTCGCTTACAGGAGCGCCTGCCTGACATTAGCGATTATTTTCGAAGCGGCCCTGGCTTCTACATCATGCTCGCTGTGATTGTTGTTGCTCAGGTTTTGGTCATGCTGTTTGGGTCCTCTCCATTTGGTCTTGTTTCTCTTGGGCCTGCGAAATGGGCCCTTTGCGTCTACTTAGGTGCTTCAATGATAATTGTGGAAGTGGTATTGAGAGTCGCAATAACGACAAGCACACGCAATTCCATCGGCGTCTCGAGATGGCGCATCCTTGGCAAATCAGCCAAGAATCTTGCATGAAGGTTTCTTGGTGTTGACCGCTTGATTTTAGCAAAATTAGACTTAGTAAAGATGGCATTCCGCGGTTTCAGCGTTTGCCGACTTGAAACAGCATATTGGGGCGTTCCCTAGGTGGAAGGCTATCTGAGAGATCATTGAATTGGTATGTTGCCATTTGTGCTTCTCCGTGATAAGCCATGATCTTTTCTTGGGCCGGGGTCAATGCGAGGTGCAGTGTTCTTGACTGGCAGTTCAAGGTATGGCAGACAGTGAATGTATTGGAAAAGAAAAGAAAGATAGAGTATATTCTTAAGACTTCAGCCATGGGATATCGACGGGTCAAGCTCAATGTGAAGACATCGTACACTTCGAAGTTGAATATGTTTAAACCGCTCAAACTACGCCAATGCGCAATCACCTATATCGCTACATGTCTCCGTGTTCTCAAGAATCGACGAAACAACTGTCAATCTGTTAGCTAACATGCTCCACATGTAAGATGGGCAAATGGGACGTACGGATACTCTTTACTTGCAGATACCATTGGTTCTGCAGAAGCCGCAGCAACGCTGGCCGTCGACCTTGCTAATGCAGCATTGGCGGGCAGTCAGCTCGCCGCTCTCGGAGGTCGGGTCGACACCAAGAGGGCCGGCGGCGGCGAAGGCGGCGAAGGCAGTGACGAGGAGGACCTTGAAGTTCATGTTGATGGTTTTTGGGTGGTGTTGCTTAAAGATAGTGATGTTGGTGGTTGTATAGTGAATGATCGAAGTGGATGAGTATGCACGGGAAATTGTCAGAGGCAAGCAACGTACACTCATTATATACATCTAAGGTGAGTAGTTCGGTCTCGTAGAACTGCGGCTGTAAGTTCAAAACTGGCGTAAAGTCTCTACGCAAATGACCATCGGTATCGGTAAAAGTCTCAACGTATCCTTGGTCTGTGTTTGAGTTAATTAGGGGGTATCTCGTCTCAGTGGGCCTATACGATCCCGTCGGGTTCTAGTCATGTACGGGGTTGCCGACTATGTCGTTCCCTAGAGCTTGGAGTCCGTAACAGTCGAAAATTCGCGGTGCATGTATTCGGGACCCCGCAGGCGTCTCAGACCCTAGGCCACCTCTAAAGGCAGCGGTTTTATAGATAGAACCTGCGCCACTTAAGCTATGTCTACGGCCTTGCTTTGCAATTTTGACGACATGGTACGGTCTGCTACTTCAGGGGAAATTCAATGCTTCTCTTTTGTATCTTGGTCGAGTGCAGAGTGACCAAATTTATACTTCATCGGGTTAGGTGAGCGCGCTCCGGATGGGACATGAACTATGTGAATGAAGTCTGCCAAACTCGCATGAGGATGGTTCATCTGTACAAAGTTCATCTGACTTTCCGGTTACCGCCAACTCGGAAAGACGGCACTCGTAATATGACGATTGCGAGTCAAGAGATTGAAAGCGGGCTGATTGTGAGGCGGATGTTGTCGATCAGCCAGTGCCATGCCGGAACCTCCCTGCAAACCTAAAAATGTCAGCGGACATAATCGGGATGCGCGGCATCCAGATGAACGCCCTTTACTCGCCGATTATTGAACATTCGGGGCTTGCTGTTGCGGCCTGATCCATAAAAGTGTGATTCTCGCTTTTGAGAATCATTGCCCGGCCTGCCATCACACAGTGCTGGCGAGAAGAAGCAGCGGCAATGGACTCCGAGACATACCGCGAAAAGGGCAGGCTGCTCACGTGGTCCGACGATGATTCCAATAGCGACGAGCAGACGCGCAGGTTAAGCCGACGATCTTGGGCGCCGATTACCATCATAGCACTTTCATGTTCAAACCTTTTCCTCGTCGCTTTATGCGCGTGCCTCGCACTGCAAGGGGTCGGTCGACCAACACTACACACCGGTCCGGACCTAGGGCCCTCGTGGCTTCCACCACAAAGTAAAGAATCTTCCTCTTATCCCTTTAGATGTTTCCCAGAAAGGAGAGGGGACAGCACTATGGACATTTTCTAATATGAGGTGTGATACAGTACCGATGAAAAAGACGCTCATTTCCGAACCTATATATGGAGGCCCGGTTACGAATGAGAGCGAGAAAGCTTGGGATGATTTGATGCCGCGTATGTTCCCCAGCACCAGGAAACTTCCGATCGCATAAGTTAATATGTTGTACCAGTCGGCCGAGGGTTCGTCGTCATCAAAAATCAGACGGCGCTTCCTCAGGTGCCCAAGTTCAACGCGACCATGGGCGAATACAAGGGGGTGATATCTGTCTTTCACCAGCTGCATTGCGTGGTAAGTGATTAGCATCCCTACACCTCGAGTTCCTGAATGGAAAGACCCGCGTTTTTTGAAAGGTTTTGAGACATTGACAACTTCAACAGTGGGCGACTCGGGAGGCCTTCTTCAAGTTGCTTCGGGAGGGTAATTCGACCGAGATCGATCTCGGACACCTGAGTCACTGCTGGGACTTCGTCAGGCAAGCCATCCAATGTCGCGCTGACACCACCATAGAGTGGCAGGTGTCGGAAGAGCTCGGGGGAAGTCTGGGATGGGGCTACCAGCATCAGTGCTATGATTATGAAGCCCTCAAGGCCTGGGCGGAGGACCACAGCTGGGGTGATGACAACGAGAAGAATATCGAGTAGATGATTCTCGAAATAAAGAGCAAGTGGATCAAGACGAACGACCCTACTCGTATGATACTTCTCGAACCAGGCTGTCTGCGAGTGTTTGATTCACAGCTAGGCTTGGACGAGCCTTCCTGAACATCTGGAAATGGCGATGATAAATGGAGAGGAAAGACAATGCAGACAATAATTTGTCTCCCAACAACCTCCAGGGCTACGTCAAAGACAAGCAGGCGATTTGTGCCTTTCTCAATCAGGAGCTTCAGCACATTGAAACATCTGTTCTTGAACCCCTTTCGGCTGGGTCTAGCAGGAAACAGACTTGCGATGTCAGCCTAGCCAACCGATCGATCAAGGTTTTACACGGCTAAGATTACTGCCCTGTCTCGCAAGTAGATGAGGCCATCACCGAGAACCGTTTAAATGGACTACATGCTGTAGGTAGTGAGTAAGCAACATCTGAAGTGGTGATCGCAAGATGCACAAAAACCAGCTACCATCAATACCCATCGCGTGTCAGCTGCCAATCATCCGCTGTACCAAAGTAGAGAAGACACTGAATGCTCTATTCGTCATCCAAGGCAGCGTGCCTCGATTTCTAGTACGACATAGATGAGAGGTCTAGTATGCAATTCATGTGATGCAACCTTGAAACCAAACCGAAAGCCCGGAAAAAGACTGAAAAGTTGATGAAGGGAAGGGACACATGTCAAAAGCACGAGATGAAATCAGCAGTCAACATGCGGCTCAGCACATCTCCCACAATGGGCGTGGCAAGACGGTGTGCTTGCGTGGGCCGGAGCGCTTGCTCGTCTCCTTCACTGTGACATAGACGACGCGGCGCTCGGGGTTGCCGGTTGTGACAGACCGGGACTCGAGACCGTAGTAATCGGAGATGGAGTGCGTCAGCCATCGCCTGGAACACGTTAGCGACTGATATTCCAATGAAGGAATCCTACGGCGGCGATGGACACACTTGAAGGAGGCACCCTCATCGTCGCCTAGGGAATCAAAGACCATGCCTGTGTCAACCTCCTCGCTGCCAACCTCACGTCTCGCCTTCTTCCACCCCTTGCCAGCAGCACTCATCCCCTTGCGCCCGACAAAGACAATCTCCTCGTCAGAGGAATCACCCTCAGCGTCGCTCTCCTCATTGCGCTCCTTCAGGAAGTTCCTCACTGGCTCCTCGAGCACGCGGACCCAGCCCTTAACTGCAGGTGTGCGCTTGGCCGTCTCACGCAGGTCGCGAGGGACTTCGCCAATGGCAAGACCAGTGGCCGAGCCGTTCTTGCGCTGCTGCTTCTTGCGCTGAGCCTGCAGCTTAGCCGTCTTATCCTCGATGCGCTGGCGGAGGCCGGTGTCCCAGAACTTGGCAATGTCGTAGGGGACGACCTGGACGGGGTATGTGGGGTGGACTTCCCAGTCGCTCGGGAGGGGAGGCTGGGCGTTGGGGACGCCGACAAGACGGTCTGCAAAGACGGACAAGGCGGTTAGTAGAGGACGGAAACGCTAGGGCGGAGAATGTGGTGATGTCATATGGAGCGGGTAGGCAAGAAAGGGGGTCGACCGACCATTCTCCCATCTCCGACGCTGCCGGCTGCCCTCGTTACCCTTCAGCAGCTGTTCCCGCTTCTTCTGGCTGTCCCTTCGGCTCAGAGGCCTACGGATAGGCGGCTGCTGGACGGCGGCCGCGTCGGTGGCGATAGTCACCGATGTCTTCTTGACCTGCTCGTCGATGTTGATGGCCAGCGGTGTCCCTGTGCCACGAGCGATCGGACTGACGCTGAGGGACTCCAGCGCCGAGATGGTCCACGCTTCGATATCGATTGCGGTCGTTGATGTCTGGGAGGGATCGAGGGGGGCGGGAGGGGTCTGCGTCGGTGGCGGGGGAATCGGCTCGATCACGGGGGCGGCGGCGACGGCGGCCGAAGCGTCAAAGTCCTCCGGGGGAGGGACGGCACCGTAGATAGCCATGCTGGGCGAAACTTACGTTCGAACGGGGTCGCGTGCGCGTTGGAGGTGCGGTCGAACCTCGATGAACGGTCGTCGTTGAGGTAAGGTAGGGTTCAGGGCTGCCGATAAGGGGCGATAAGGGCGACCGATCGCGGGGTGGAGGAGCTACTGATAACTGATAAGACGCGCGCGCGGTGATGAGACGAAGAGATGGGACGGATGAGAGCCCAATGCAGTCTAGATACTATCTGAACGAAGACGAAATGGAGTTCTAAGATGAGGACACAATAGGAGACAGTTGGCGGGGTGTTGAAGGAGGAAGCGAGGTGAGTGGAAATGGACGACGGGGGGTAGTTCGACGCGGACCGGGATCGTCTTAGCTCCGGGATAAGAGGCATGACACATTCGACTCGTGAGCTTTGGCCAATCAGAACGCGAGCGCAAACCATGTCTTCGGCAGGTGATTCACGGGCCATTTGTTTCCTCGCCCTGATTCACTTCGAGTCATCGCCAGTCATTAATAGACTCCTTTATTCGGAGTAATACCAGCGAATAGCAGAACAGAAGAAATGAGGCACAGGACCAATCATTTTATGCGTCGCATATTCGCACCTTGTGTGAGAACCCGGAGTGCGTCTCTTACCGATTGCCTCCAGGGAGTCATGTGCCGCTCACATCCACATACCTCGTCTTTATGGTGTATTGCTGCCTCTCATATTCATTCATTTGCTGTGGCGACGTGTACTTATAACCAAATATTTCTGCATTCACGCGGCGGTAAGCATGGAGCCTCCACTGTCATAGTTGAACGCAAATCATTTCAAGGCTTTCAGATATGTTGTGATGGCTAAAAATGATCCATCAACGCGGGAATGGGAGAAACATAACATCGAACCAGAAACTCAAGTTCCTTCCCGCATGTTAACCTTGAAGGTGCCAACGCGACCCTGCTTGATTTATGGCTATGAAGTGTTTCTCGCCGATGAATATTCCGGCAACACGACGAGAGTTGCTTATTGTAGCAACTACAAGGTACCCAAGAATGAGGCCTGGGTAAACGGAATGAAAGCATTCAGTAGAAAAGCCTCATCTCGTTGATTTAGCTTTTGTGGTAGATGTGATACTACACTGGTTGATTTTGCTACACGCCGACCGCACTCATGTTTTTCTACTCCGTGTTGTCATTCATCTACGGTGCGTCTTCATATGGGGATATTCCTCGACAGCATGCAACTGAGGATGACTCGTCAGGTCATAAGCGCCTTGTAAATAGTCTTGCTATATTTCTTTTAAATCCTTTCTTGTCGAGAAAACGTATTCTTAAATCGCACAATAGCCATCAAACATGGCGTATAATGTCGAATCATCCCGGGGCAGAGGTGAGGGAGGGAAAGGTGATTGAGGTGTCACTGCCTCGTGTAGATTATTTCTCCGTATCACAGGCTCCGGAAGATTGAACGTCACGTTACATGAATGTTTCGTAAAAGTAGGTGGTGCAACAGATTGGAACTTATTGCATCCTGCCTTAGAAAACATTGAAGTGCCTCAATCAATCCTATTTATACTAACTTAGTATTGAGAGTTAGAAACACACTGGACCATCATGCTTATCGGTATCGTACCTTAGGTAAAGTGTAATTTGGATCCGTGGCCCGTTCCAAGCAAATCCCATATCAGACAATGTTCGGAACCGTAGACTGTCTCGTATGTGCAAATACCTCGTAGTGGGAGCCAGAGATGATACTATGCAGTTGGCGCACACTGTGCCGGATGTGTTTTCGCTGTTTAGTGCGGTTCTCCGCTGCTGAACTCATAGTGTAGCAAACATCTTGCTTCTCTATCTTTCACCCTTGACTGCACTTTATAACCTTATGAATAAACCACGAGCATTGCACGAAGGGGCCAGCTACTCACATACACCATGACATAGGGTAGACCTGCCCTTGAAGTTGCCGATCTCAACAATTAGGCTGATAAGTCGTAAAGCTTGACAACAAGATGAGGGGTTCTTCTATCTGGGGTTGCCTGCTGCGGAGTGTTTAGTTTCTTTCCATCCTACGGGCCGTTGATACAACCTAACAATCCAGAATGCGTCGTGACATCTCTAAACCAAAGGTTCCATTCCCTTTTAAACTCTCGTATGTATCCCCCAGCATACAGCCAACGCGCACCCCAAGGCAATCGATCAAGTTTGAGGCTCATAATTGAGTTGATTTCTTCGTGATGGCTTCAAAATTGATTGATTGATTGATTGAACTTGACGGGTTTACTTGCCCCTTGCGGGGGGCGCTGCATACAGCCCATCCAACACAATGAAATCTGCCCGAGTTGAATCGTCCAGTTCAGACGTAATCGCCCAGTAGACTCGTCGAAGCCATCAGACACGCACGTAGCTAAACAAAACGCATGATCTTTCAACCGTATCACCGTCAGTCGTTTCTGTCCGCAGCTTATTCATTAGGTAGTCAGAACTGCTTGGTCGCGACCAAAGCCAACTCCAACAGCATTGTCTATGTTTCCCAGGCGGCGTCGGACGACACAATATGGGCGACTCATCCCCAAAAAGCGATCCTGCCCTCGTCGTCTCCTTCATTGGTGTCTCTGCAAACCATTCCATCAACTCAAACTCCTCAGCGAATTCATAGCCCAGGCCAAGGACGCCCGTCAAGCTTGATGGCAAAGCGCCCAACCTCAATAGAACAGACCACGAAAAGTACCACCCACCAAGGACCCTTCCCAGCTCCCAACTCCCGCAAAACTCCAACGTTGCCCATCTCCAACCAGACCAACCCTGCCCATCTTCCCTCAACCCTCCCTCTCGAGGTCTTCTCACCAGCCAAACCTACGCCCAAGCATCGAAGGGTCCACCAAGAGCACCCCTCCTCCTCCGCAAACTAACAGGAAAGACCAGATCGAGGACCCTCCCACCAAAAGAAAACAAACTTCATCATCGCCTCATGAAAACGTCACGAGCCTTCTCTGTTCCCGGCCGCGGTTGCGCATCGGCAATTTGTACTTGTCTTGTCTTCGTCTCATCATACCTCACACGGCGTGTCCGGCCGAAG